TTCAACAGAAGTAAAGAAATAGACACTCAGGCTGCAAGTCTTGCGCCGTTTAAGTGGACAGTTTGACGGTACAATTGTTTTATTTGAGAGAAGATGTTAGCCAAGTCGGGAGTGCTGTATTTATTAAGAAAGCAATTCTGTTTGTGAACGACTCACTCTTCCGTGAACAAACGAACGCAGTCAGTAGGGCCTCAGTCACCACGCAGCGACTGCGTGCGATTCGTATTTTAAAAAGAATCACACCAATAAATTTGGACATATGAAAAATTATAGCTCAAAACGTGCTACATAATAAGCCCTATTTAAGATGATTGGATTATCACGATTACGACGCTCTTATAGAACTTTTTCTTTGTAGACACTTTTTTGTTTATATTTGATTCAAAAATGGCGGAGGAGCGCTTCGTGGTGGTGCGACGGTGACTGGCCAATGCGCGGCCTGTAGAGGTGGAGCCTCCGGTGCACAAGTTGGGGTGAAAAAGAGTATAAGGATGGCACTCTACTATTCAATTCAAACCGGTATTCGCGCACCTCTAGTGCTAACTTCATAATGAAAACCCGAGACTGGGGCAAACAAAGAAACAATCAAGCTCGCCCTATCTTTTTTAAATTTTTGCCCAGTCTCGAGTTTTCATTATGAAGTTAGTTCACCAGCTTGACAGTGTTTTTTTTTTTTTTTTCCCCTTTCTTTGTTCCATGCAAATTGCGAGACCAGTTTGAAAATACGAGAGAAAAAAGTACTGTAACATCCCGAGAGATGCCCCGCCCCCGAAAAATAACCCACCCATTCTTTTAAAAGGATTTCGTATTCTCTGCCGATGTCACCATTGGCCCTAGCCAATGGTGACCTTGGCAGAAATAGTGTTACTTAGCCACCTCAAGAGATAAGCGAACATTGCTGACTGGGAAGGTTCATCGCCTCTCCCTGCAGTCGCAAGTTTCACAGGTCACAAAATCTAAAACTAGCATTTTTTAAATTTTCTTTGATCGCTCAGCGAAAGTTAGCCTACTCCATATTTTCACCCGATTTGCTTTCGCTTTTAGGTCGACTATCTCTCTGGACACAGTGCAACCCACTTACAACGATAATGAGAAAGCCCAAAATTTCAATCTTTATAACCGATTATCGTTGTATCTGGACTAGAAACTGATGATTTCAGTCTAGAAACTCTAGAAATTTATCGTTAGAAGCAGTACATTGTTAGATCTGGTATTGTTGTAAGTGGGTTGCACTGTATTATGGTAGTTGTAAAACAAGCACACAGAATGGTGCAATGCTACAGGCTGCACCCGTGGCAAACCGAGGCGTTCCCACTATTGTGACAGTTTCGGCTTTGCCAGCAGTGGAATGCTTTGGTTCCGATTATAAGTCAACCCTTTCAGTTAAGATTTTCAAAAATTTAGAAATGCGTCTACCTACAATTGTGTGAATAGGGCACCTTTGTGAGAAACATGCATTTTCAAAATTTAAATACCGTAATATCCCTGAAAGATAACCAACCCCTATTCCAGGCATGATTACCTACTTTTTCAAAAACCCCGAAAAATAGTTCATATCTAGTAATTGCAGGGCCCTGGCCAATGATGACCTCGGTGGAATTTGTTACTTATATTCAATGAAAAACAAGCGAACATTGTTGACTTGGAAGGACAGTCATTTTTGCTTCATCACCCCTAGCTGCGATTACAAGTTTTGCAGGCCAAAAATTCTAAAACTAGCATTTTTTTCATCTTTTTTTTTATCGGACACCGAAAGTTAGCTTACTCCTCATTTCCACCTGAGTTTCTTCGGGATATTACGATACATATTTAAAGACGCGAAACGTCGTGAGTTAATCGAATTCACAGAGATGTTGGGCATTTGGTGCTACGGCTTGCGGAGAGTGGGGAAAGGCTTACAGCGGAGAGATTAGAAGGAGAAAAATGCGTGTCATATAGGCAGCAGGTAAGATGTGCCACTTCCCTATACCCTAGATACAACCTTGTCGATATAACATCGTTTGCGAGGATTCGAATTTATAGCACCACGTTCGAAAATTGCTTCTCTGAGAAAATAAATTGCCGTGTGACATCCGATGTTCCATCTCAGCACCACCTGAGCCAGCTCCGAGGCTTGGAATTTAGTCATCGTCATTTGCAACTCAATCGTAACTTGTAGGCGGCCGAAAATGTTTTGCCGACTGCCCGGGTTGTTTACACCGACACGCAGGCCTGCCCGATCACACGGTCCTCGTGTGTCCACAAGCATTCAGTTTAGAATGCGATTTGGGCACTGCAAAGTTGATGGGTTCAGCAATCTCAATTTTAAAACAGGGTAGATCCTTTTCAAAAGACTGCACAATCTAGTAGATACCGAGTTAATCACAGTATTTACTCGCACAATGAACGCACTCGCGTAATGAACGCACCCCCCAAGTCGGCTCTCAAAATTTGGACTTTTTTTTTCACTCGCGTAATAAACGCAGCCCCAACTCGGACGTCAAAATTTTGACCCCCTCCCCTCACGAGCGCGAAATGAACGCACGTTTCTATCCTGGTGCAGCGAGGTCGCGAATGCATGGGCAGCGTGGGCGAACAAAACGCCTTGCAAAAAGCGTTAAAAAAATTCGCAAAGATCCAATAGAAGCAAGAAAAAAAAACATGGAGAGGAGCTTTTTTTTTTTTTTTTTCACAGGGCAGTCTGGACTTTGGGTTCGCGCGCCGCCGCGCGCAAGGAGGTAAGAAAGAGGAGCGGAGAAGCCCTCTAAGCAAACAAAACAACTTGCGAAAGGCGGCAAAAAAAAAAAAAAAAAAAAGATCCACGGAAGTGAGAAAAAACAAAAAAAAAAGAGGACCTTTTTTTCTTTTTTTTGCAGGGCGCAGTTTGGTTACGGGGGGGGGGGGGGGGGGGGGGGGGGTCGGGTCGGGTCGTGCGCCGCGCGCAAGGAGATAAGCGGAGAGCCCTCGCCTAAGCAACGCCTAAGCAAACAAAACAGCTTGCGAAAGACGGCAAAAAAGAAAAAAAAAAAACAGCAATGAACTAAGAGAAAAAGAAAAGAGTTTTTTTTTGTTTTTTTTTTGCACAGCTTAGTTTGGTTACAAGGTCCCGCGCCGTGTGCAAAGAGATAAGAAGTTACTTCTATTTTTCAGGATAAACGGTCCTTCATTATGGGAGCAAATAGGGACTCAAAAATTTCACCTGGCGCAATGAGCGCAATGAACGCCCTCCTCAACTTTGCATCGATTTTTCTGAAAAAAAAGTGCGTTCATTCTGCGAGTAAATACGGTATTCGAGTTTGCTACTGCTGTTTGTGCATGTGCACTGAGCATGATTGGACACAAGGGCTGCGCCGCTGTTCGGTGTGAACTCTGCTTGGCTCGTATTGAAAACGAGAACCACATTGGCGTTCCGCAAGGACTCGGATCCAATCACATGCTTCGTGCCCAAGAAACGGCAACCGCCGCTGTTTTAGAGCACAGCTTTTAGGCGCCCATTTCCGCGTATAGCGGCGTCACCATTGCCGTCGGCGTAACCACCCTGCTAAACACCTGCGCTGCAAACCATCACGCATGTTTGGACGTGTCGCCCGTTGACACATTACGAGTCGCCTCACAAGACGCTCCCTCGCTCAGCCTGTGCATTTTCGGTGTCATTTCAAGGAGAAAAAGAACGAAAGGATGGCAGAGTCAGCATTTTGCAAAGTTGCGCCGGCCCATGCCACGAAGACGAACATCGGACTTGAGTGTCGGCGGCGTTCCTCCTAAGATGCAATTCTGCGTGTGACGGTTTGATTCACAGATCACAATACACGTGCAAATGCTTTTAGGGTAGACATTCGTCGAGGACATCGTGGAATTGCGATTATCGTGGTGCCATATTTCAAATGCTAGTTGTTCTACCGAAGTGTGAGTGCTTGAATGTTTTTATTTATTGATAGGACGCGTGTCTTGGGTTGCACTTTCTGCGGGAAGTTTTGTTTTTCAGAGATCACTTGCCGAGATGACTATGGTATTACAGCAAAATACCGAACATGCACCCATGTCACAATTGGTGCTTATCTGCTTTTTTGGAACTTTTGAAAAACAAGCAGAGGACGTATCAGGCACCCATTCTAGAGTTCTGAGCCCCCTTGGCTAGAGGGGCCATAATCTATGGCATAGATTATGGTCACCTTATACCAAACACCTTACTTTTTAATTTTTAATAAAGACCAAAGCATGCCAATTATAGTAATATAAAAAAGTGCCCCGAACAGGACGTATTGCAGACAGAACCCAGAAAGAGATCTGTATTTACTAAATGGGAGGTAACATTTTTAAATTATGTTTTTATTTTTATAAAATGTATTATGTATTCTTTTAGATTTCTTCCACCCGCTTAGCACTCATTTCACAACCATGCACGCACATTCCCACGAAGACGGGACGTGAGGCTTCATTCAGAAAATATGACGGGATGGCAGAAATGCACCTCTGAAAAGGGACTGTCACAGCCAAAATGGGACGTCCGGTCGCCTTACCCCTAACTAATTGTGATGTTCTTCCATGTCAGCCACTTACCTGCGCATGCTGGTGCATAGCGGAGATCCTTGATGCGTGCCTGCCAGGGTAAAACGGCAAAGCCTGACGCACGTACGCTGCAAAAAAGGCGTAGCGCACCCCGTAACGCACCTCTTTTTGCAGTTTTCTCTCTCGGACTTCACATTTGCCCATCCACCCAGTTTTTTTAAGGTTTGGAAATTCCCTTGCTGCTACCCGTGTTGGGTTATGACACAGCACACCGGTTCAACAACACGTAGACATGTACTGACCGTTATCGCCCGCGTCACATGCTGCAACGGCCCTTTGTCAGCAGCGGGGCACCTCTCGCATGGCCGGTTGCCCTTGGCCCCCTCGCGGTGCAAATGACCACTTCGATTTGCCAGAGGGACAGCCCAAGGCTGTTCACAAAAGCTGTCTCCAGATTTTGAATGAGCCTTTGCACGTTTTGTTACTGAATTCCCGTTCCCCGCTTGGTGCAGGTGGAAGAAGACCCAGACGTACGACATCTTGGTGGAGTGTGCGAGGCACGTGGTGGACTCGAGGGAGTGGATGCCTGAGGCAGAGGCCCCCTCCCCACCCCCGGTGCTGCCGGCGGCCCTGCCCGACCTCAACAACGTCCCTCCCCTGCAGCAGCCGCCGGCCGCCCACTTCCCCAAGGGTGAGCGCTTGTCCTGTGCACTCTGCCCGTCTTTACAAAAAAGCCCCGGAAGACTCCGCTCCGGAAAACGCTTCGGTTTAGACAAACGAGGAATGGGGTGTCCAAGCAGGCATTGAGGAAGGATCCGCTGCGTTAGTACACCGGTTTTGGCAGACGGCCGTTTCCAAACGTTTTTGAGCGTCTAAGGTCTTAAGGAAATCTGCGCTTGCCCCATGACATGGTTCATATAACGAAGGCCACCAGGCTTTAGCCACGTGACGGTCACCGTACAATAGACTCTCGTCAGGCCGATCTCGCTTGATCCGAATTCTCGACTATGCCCAGAAAATCGGGAATGTTTAAGAAACTTCTCATAGACAACCGTTGGAGGGGTAAGCAAAAATTTGCTTAACCCTTTGACGGTTGCCACTGTATGTGCACGGCGGTGGGTATACGTTGGAAAGTTCTGGCCTAAATGCGAACCTGCGTGCACCCCTGGAGGTGTTGCTGTCTGTGATGTCTTTGGGGAACAATATTTGTTTCATTCTCGCCGTGTTTCGTTTTTGCTGGGGATATTTATAGTTTTGAAATTCGACACTCTGCACAAGTGATACGTTGGAGGTGGTCGCCTCGCGTGTCCCCTTTCTGGGATTCCTACCGCAGATCTCTTTTTAATTTTCTTGTGAGGTTGCAACACCGGGGACAGCCAATAAATCCTAAACGCCAACTTTCTTAGTATATGCTTTACATTTTATGCTTTTACATGCTTCGTCCTTTCCCGCATCTCCCCTTCACCCTTCGTTCCTCCAAAGACTTCCCCCTTTGAACAAGATGCGGAAAGCAGTGTCCTCCTCTCTTAGGCTCCTCCTTCTCTCTCCTTTTGCTACCTCACCATCTCCTCTTGCTGATTAAGCACGAGTCGAATCCAAGTGCTGACACGGCACTCATGCTCCATCTGTTCCCCACATTGGCCTCCTGTAGGTTGTGCGTAAATGTAGTACCACGGCCCTCTTATCTAGGAAGTGTTGGCTACTGTCGCGTTTTTGGAGATGGAGAAACTAAAATGATTTTTTGTGTAACTGTATATCGATGTTCTGCGTCTGGTCTTCAAGCGACTTTCTCTAAAAAGTGCCCACCAAACTTGCATGGTAAATGCGAGCTGCGTCTCTTCTCGTGAGAGCGCCATTCCAGCGGCAACCGAGCAACGGTCTCGGGACAGGGCACTTTGCAAACCGTTTCAAAGTGCTATGTCGATAAGCCGTCTTTCGGCTTCGTCCGGGGTAGCGTCCCTGCAAGAAAAGACATGGTTTGTGCGTTCCATATAAGTTTGGCGAGCACCACTAATGGAGGGCGTTGAGAGGGAGTTGTGCCCGGCTTTCAGGAGAGCCTGCCGTCTTCTCGTCGGTTGCCATGTCCCCCTGCTGGAGCCCCATTGAGGCCTGTGGATTGGCCAAGCCCAGGCAGTCAGCGGGGCGGGAATTCCCCAGAACCCTCGTTCACGGTGAGCAGACGGAGCTGGAGCCACCGATAAGCATGCTTCAGAATATCGACACATCAGCCATTGGATTGGATTGGATTTAGGACTTACCCCTCTGTACCGAGGGATCTCAGCAAGGCTGGATGTAGCATGGCTAGTGGCTAAACTAGCCAACGTCGGCTACACTAGCCATCCCGTGGCTTAAGATCATTGATGCCAGTTATCTGAAGCTTTATCTGACATTGGAGGAAATGCCTTTCCATTATCTAGAAGCGTTAGAAAAGTCTGCGGTGGAGAAAAAACATGTTGTCCAAGCTTTCTAAAGCACAGGAGGTCATATTTGGGAATCGTAACTGCTGCCAGTTGCGTTGCACTGGGCAACAAAATGGTGGTGCCTACGAGACGATTCGGGGAAGCGAGTTTGGATGCTGTAAGCGTAGCTTAGTTGTAAACAGTGCTACACCATGTTGCTCTGGATGTGTGTAAGAAGGCTGCTCTGATAGACTTATTAGGAGCATGAAGAAACTCGGAAAATGAGAGATGGACGGAATTTTGCCCCTGTCCAGCACAGCCAAACGAAAAACTTAAATCTATGAGCACCCAAGATGTAAAAGTAAGTGCTCTCTATTTGCCGCTTTGTGTTTGAGATTTTCTAGGGAAACATAATTTTTGCCTCGACCGGCTCTCGCCCTGCTTCAGTGTGCACGTGCGTTGCTCTAATGTCAACCACTGTACAATGCATGAATTCTCCAGCGCCTTTTTGGGTCATTGAAATTTTTTTCAAAGGATTTAGCAAGGCCATTGTGAAAAGGGTTCTTTATCGTGCTCATTCATGTTAGACTAGGCATGTGCGAACAGCAAATTGTGAGGTCAAAGCAAATTCAATGCAAATAGTGGTTCTGGCCAAATATTTTATAATTTAATATAGAATAGTTTTTCCGAGCCTTTCGCTGCTGAATCATCCTTAAAGGAAAACTTATCTGAACTCATGAAGCTTGTTCCCAAGCTTCCACTTGTCCATTTGTAGGCTAAGGTAATTTTAATCTAGCTATATTTATGGACTGTGGTCTCAGGAAGTCCAATGCCTGCGTTGGGATGACAAGCAAAGGACAGATTTCACATAAAATTAAGCCTATGAGATGCCCAGCTCTACCTCACAGAAGGCACTTATAAATCTCCTTGCTAAATGCAATTATACTTCCTTCAATCCTGAATCTGAAAAAAAAAAAAAAAAAGACAATCACTAATGATGATTGCTCCTTGTCAGGGTATCTCTGCCTAACATACTCCTGCATAATATAATAGCCAGTTTAATTTTGAAAACTTTACTGCAGTGTAGATACCAACATTCACATAGTTTCCGTTTCTTTTTATATACACCAGGAATGCGTGTGCACCATCCCACTCTAAAAGTGTGCATTTCTCCTAAGCACGTGACTGCAGTACATATTTGGACATTTCGAAGTGCCGATCGCGGCAGATTAGCCTCGTTGAGTGCGCTTCTTACCACGCACCTGTGCACTGCAGAGAAGTAACACCCGCAGAAGCGAGCTCCGTGGGTGTTGCTCCTTTGCAGTGCATCAGTGCTCGGTAAAAAACACTCTCAAGAGGGCTAACCCGCTGCAATTAACGCTTCGAAAATAATTAATATCACAATTCATCTCTATGTGAATATTGAATAGCATATTATCTGAGATTGCTATTAGAAAAATTGAATATTAGCACAATCCTATGTTAGACCCTTGGGGATCCAACACAATTGGGTGCTGTATGATATTGCCACACTTTGGTTAGCTGTAGTGCACATTCAGTCGTGCTGGGAAGCTGTTCACAGTATTCATGCAAAGGGTCATGCAAATGGTTACTTGGCTCTTCAGGTGAAACAACTGTCGTCTAGGGAAAGCTTCTTTTATTGAGTAAAACTTTGAATAGTAGCGTAAGCGGGCTGCGCTGTGCTCGAAATGTTGGTCGGAGGACACTCAAGTACCTCGTCATTTTTACTTTCTTTTTTCCTTTCTTGTAGAAAAATCATTTGAAAGCCAGGAAGGCAGCTTACCACTGGATCTTGCTGTAGAGGCAACTCCGGAGGACATCAGCGCTCAGGTATGGGCTTTAGAATAGAGTGTGCTGAATGTGCATTTCTAAAGACTCTAAGGGCTGTGATGTTTGTTCTCTTTGGATTTTGGAATTTCCCAGCAGTATACTGTAAGCAACTTTTTTTTCACGGGCTGTACATTTTTCGATTTTGGGTAAAGCTGAAGTTCTAGAATAATTCACAGGTTCTAATTTTCGCGATGCGGTAGGGTCTCAATATAGATTCCAATGTGTTTACATTATACCGAAATTTTTCACGGGACCTATTTTTCGCGAATTGTAGGCGATTTGCGAAATTCGTGAAAATAAGGCCCTTGTGAAAATTAAAGGGCCCATGAAACGAATTTTGGGCTGGAATAAATCAGTCTATATTGGGAGTTTACTAGGGGTGTGTGAATATACGAAATTCGAATCGAATAGAAAGTTCCCGAATAATTCGATTCGCGAATCGAATTCCTAGTATTCGGTCACTCGAATATTCAATATATTCGGCCAAAGACGCGCGGTCGGCACGGAGCTGACAAAAAAAGCCGTTTTTTCTCCCGATGTAAGCGCCATGATGTTAGACAGACCATGTGAAAAACAGCTCTTGGTCCTACCATTCCACAAAAATCTAACGCACAAATTAGAAAAAAAAAAAAGAAAAGTAAAGAACTCCACAAACTTTATAGCACGCAGATTTAGGTACTCACGATCGTGACACAGAATCACAACCGAAACATCCCGTTTGTGCCCTTCCAGAGAGGAAATTGTGGCAGGCCCGAATCCCGCGCCATGCCCAAGTCTTTTCACGAGTAAAGCCCCTCGTTTCAAATTGAAGCACCATTGCAAAACACACTTGGCCGCACTCACAGAAATCGGCGACTGCACAATCACAGAAAGAAAACCACGTTAACCACGCCGATGAAACCAGCCGACTTATTGTCGTCATTCTTTTGGAACCGCTAGCCGTGAATTCTAATTTGGAACGAAACGGAACGGAAAAATAGTGTGCCTAGATATGAGAGGGTTTCCAACCGTTCGATAGCAGCGTTTGAATCGCAAAGTGCGAGAAGGTGACGAAAAGACGAAAGCGTCGATCGGGATCGGGCAGGCAGGGCAGGTACGGCAGGCATCGTCGCCCTCCTGTTTGCTCGCCTTTTTCCACGCGACAACACAACAGATGCGCGCGCGACCATTCTGCACTGAAGCTGTCTCCGTGGTTTCAGTTTCGCTTGCTCCCTCTTTTAAATCAAGCCTCTCTAAAACAGAACAGATAGACGGAGAAATGGATGGATAGCGGCAGTTGGACGGTGTCTTGCGCCACCTAACCACGTTTTTTTTCTTACTTTAGGTTATATTGTTTAAGCCTGTTCACTCAGATTTAACACCTATCTCTTTATTTATGTGAAATAAAATACCAGGTGCCCTTTTTCTTCCTTAAAATGGAAACCAAATATCGCAAAATGCCCCTTTTTGAGATATATATAAATATTTATAAAAAAAGTCGCAGTGTTAGGTTGTGCTTTTAACAAGAAAAAAAGGCATGCGTGAATGTCTTTTTTTTAACGTTTAGGGTAGATAAATTATATTTGTGTCATAAAATTGGATCTTTAGTGCCCAACATCCAACAACAGCTGCTTTTATTTTTTTTTCACCAGAATTTTTTTTTACATTTTAGCTTTTGTTCCATACAAGATGCATATTCTACAACAGGCACATACCCTGCACATATAATAATCTCATTCGCAGCACACTTAGAAAAATTCCTAAAATAAAATCACTATTCGATATTCGATTCGATATTCAGCTTTTCTTTCTTGATTCGATTCGGTATTCGATTCGAAAAATACTATTCGGTTTTCGCACACCCCTAGATTTTACTAATAGCACATCTTTCAGTGGGCCAAAAGAAGAAAGGTAAAAAGTCAAAAGCCTGACTTTCGGTACGAAAATTTGAAAACACAACGGACTATTTCATACCTCCTTTCCTTCGTAAGCTCTCTGCCTTTTCACTGTGATACATCCGCACACCCCGCAGCGCTTTCCCGGGCCCAAAGGAACGTCACACGACACCGGAGCTCACTTAATCCCTTCACCCCTCAGCTGACATTGTGGGGGAAGCTAATCGCTTGCCGGACCAATCAGCCGCCCCCCTTAAATCACCTGACCTCATTCTCTGCGTGTGAGTATGCTTGGGAGAGCGTGATCACGTGGCAAAAGTGTGGCTGGCCCAAGGAGCACGTAGCTTCCACAGCACTGTCAGCTTCGGGGTGAATGGGGTGGAGAAAGCAACTTTTGTCTGAATTTTGAGCGACAGACTAATCTTCTAGGGGGACAATGGATGTGTCCGGATTACACAAACGAGAGTCCGAGCAAGAGGGGACTCCCCCTTTCCGTCTTCTTGAACTGTTTGGTAGAATGCGCAATTTATGAGTTGAGGAGGAAAGCTAGACAGGAAAAAGATAGAAAAGCGTTTGATGACGACTCTTTTAAGTCCTTTACAGTAGACTATTTTACTTGAGTAAGAGAATAGAGCCGTGACGTTTGGGCAGTCCCAGTGGGAAAGCCCACCGGAACTGCTTAACTGCTGAGAACAGCCACTTTGTCGTCTGCTCTCTGGATCGGGCGCATGCCCATTTTCTCTTCTACCCCGGCAAGTCCGTCAAAATGCCTGGATGTACGTAGATGGCGCTGCAGTTGTTCGAAATAGCACAACCTGAAGAGCCCTTAGTAGAATGGTCTATTGGAGCTGGTTTTTGGTTACTAGGTGGGTTCCCTACTCTTTCGTCTCATACTCTGCTTCCAAGATTCGGTAGCCCAAATGTGGCTCAAACTCTACCGGCATTACAAGGTCCTCCATCTGCACAGGGCCAGCAAACGACATCGAGAGAAGTTGGATAGGAGGAACAAGAAGAGTGTGTGCATGTGCAAGAACACTTCAGACTACTCTGCAAGGTTGTTCTAAAACCGAAAACATGTGTGCAACTTTCAAGGGCTGTTTTCTCAGAATGGAGTTTTCCACTGCTGCTGTGGCTGCTCGTCCGAGCGATATGTCGGAAACTTCTCAGTGGATTTTCGTGCTGTCTTTTTAGAGCGCAGCTCTTAGGCGCCCGTTTCCGGCTTGAGCGGCTTCGCCGTCGACGTAACCGCGCGGTGCATTATGGGTAAATTTCCCCGCTAAATCTAGCGGAAAAATTTCCCCGCTAAATCTAGCGGAAAAATTTCCCCGCTAAATCTAGCAGAAAAATTTCCCCGCTAAATCTAACGGAAAAATTTCCCCGCTAAATCTAGCGGGGAAATTTTGGTCACATGACCGGGGGGGGGGTCACATGGCCTGGGGAGTCACGTGACCTCGAAGGGGTGGCATGTGGGTCACGTGCCCTCGAGGGGGGAGGGGGGGGTCACGTGACCCCCCCCCCCTCCCCGAGAACACGTGGCCCTCAGTACCCTTCCCTCCTCCTCCTCAAGCGCTGCGCTCCAATTCGGCGTTACAGGGAGTTGTAAACAGCTTCCACTTTTTTATTTTGTTCCTATAGTATAACTTTGTGAGGGCAAAACAGAGCCCTTTTTTTAGAAAACTGTTATATATTTATAAAAAAATATATATATTTTTGATGAATTTAAGTTTTATTGACTCCATAAAATTCAAAGTTGTACTATAATGTTTCAACAAAGAAATTTAGACAAAGGGCTCTGTTATGCCCTAGGGAACCTATCCAGGGGCCACCATAACACATTTTATACTGCTACTACCTTTTTTAAGCTCTCCAGGCGTGGGATAAGTAATGGATATGGAGGATTTTAATAAATGTTTCTAATTTGAGAAATAACACGTACAGCTCCATGAAACTGTGCGGTTACTCTTATGTCTGTGTTATAAACACACCGTCTAAATTTCGTTCAGATATCTTTAGAAATAAGGAAGTTCTTATTCATCGCCCACGTCCTCCCTTAAGGATATCAGAGTTCCAAACCAGTACTGCATATTTTGTATCGATTGTAAACCTTGCTAAATAACTTCTTGGTCGTATTCTGCGAGTAGAGGTGTATCAAGACCTGACAGGACAAAAACTAAAGTAGCTTGATGTGGAGTGTTCTTCCAACTGGAAACAAGTCATTGTGATTGGCAGAGACACTGTAACTGCCATCTCAGATTGGATGTCCGAAAAGAGATTGTTCGGACTCTGCGCATGGAGCTTCTATATCAGGGCCTCAAGTTACCTGCTTTCAAAATTGGCATATGACAATGTTTTGTTCAAAGACTTAAAGTGTGTTCATCCAAGTTTCACTCAAGAGGAAACTTCTGTCAGTGTTAAGGAACTTCACCCAACATGTATCTCAAATGACCGAGTCTGAGCAAGTGTCTGCTCTAACAGACGTGTTTTTGCGCACGTCTCAACTGAAGCATGTGATCCACTTGAGCGACTTGATGACGTCTGGCAACAAGTCCTCTGCCTCAAGTGCGAAGATGGGACCCCTAGGTACCCCTTGTCAGGGAAGTTCGTCAAAGCTCTACTTTCTCTTGCACATGGCAACGCTGATGTTGAAAACGTGTTAGTAAAAGAGAATTCACAGGGTCTTTTATGTTATCCCTATGACAACTTGAAGGCGAAAGCCCAAGCGCTGATCCCGGTGATAGCAAATTTCCGAAGACCGTGCGCTCTCTGACGACACGCTTTTGGCGCCTCACGGCATTTCGCATGCCTGCTCTTCACCGCTGCTGGAGCGAGAGTGCCCTCCTCTCCCACTGGGTTTTTGCGCCGCACGTGCACCTGCGCCGATTCTGGCACAAGTAATGCCATCTCATGGTCCAGTGGTGAACCGCGGGTTTTGGTACATTTCGCGTCTCCAACGTGTTTTTATAACTTTCGTGTTGCCGGCGTGTTTTCATACTCTTCATGTTGCCGGCGTGTTTTCGCTTGAGGACTTTGAAGGTCAACTGAACGATAAGACATATAAGGCTTTTGCCTTAGCAGACACCTGTTGCATGTGAGCAACAAGCTTTTTATTGCAAGTGTCAACAGCTT